CCAAGGTGACAGTGTTAGGACACGGGGTCTCTGGGAGGTGATGAGGTCGTGAGGGTGGAGCCCCCACCCCTGGGCCTGGGGAGGACACAGCCTGGGCAGAGGCGGCACCCTGACCTCGGGGCTCCGGCCAGCGGCAGAGCATGAGACGGGACGTCTGTGAGTGCGATGCACGGCCGCTCCGCAGGAACGTTCCATCGGCGGCACCTTACCTCCTGGTCTCTCCGTATACGCGCTCTGAAAGGTGCTGTCCTTGGGGCACTTACGCTCCTTCCTAACCACCCCCCACTCCCCAGCTTCCCTCGGTTGCAGCCTTATTCCTCATCTTCTGGTGGACGCCTGCATAACTCTAAACAACTCAGCGCGGGGGGCCGTGATCCCCACCTGCCCTGGAGGGCGCTGTGGCCCTTCCTTTCTGCCCGGTGCCCACCCCACTGCCCTACAGGACATGTGCCCTCCACTCCACAACAAGCTCAGGCCGCCCGTTCGCCCTGTAGGGTGAGCGTAACCCCGCAATGCTGGTCGTCTGCATTTAATGTTACGACGAGGTGTGAGGCTGTTGGGGTCCTGGGGGGAGGAAATTCTGTCCCCAGCCTTTCCACAGAAGCGGACTCCAGCCCACCGGCTCCCGCACTCCCTTCGTGGGCTTGGGCGTCTGGCACGCCGCCCCCTGGCCGGCTGTGGCCCTGGGCCCATGGCACCGCGTCCTCGCACTAGACCAGGATGCAGGCTGGCGGGGGCTCTGGGCCCAGCAGGTGGGCCTTCTGCCCCAGTGCCGCTAGGTACACGTCCCCTCTCTGGTCCGTCCCGCCCCGGGCTCCAGCTGACGGCACTCAAACCCTCCTCTCCCTCTTCACAGTGGACGGAAGCTACACGGAAGCCAGGAGGCTGCAGAGCCTGGCGCGGGGGCATCGGGACTTCTCTCCCAGGGCGACTTTTCTTGCCTTTGAAACAGAATTGTTCCCGCGTACAAAGAGAACATTGGTCATTCTCCACATTGTCCCCACAAAGCATTTCCTTCTGTTGTACGGACACGGGGACACAGAGCTGGCCTTCGGAAGCTGAATGGATGGGGAAGAGTCCATCTTTGAGCAATAAACCCGGCCCCTCGTCAGGCCCCTTGAAACAGACATGCAGCTGAAATGACCAGCAGCCCAGGCACAGTGTCCAGGGCATCTACGGCGGTCACATCCCAGTCCTGTGGCGTTCTGGAGGTCGGAATTGTCCGGGGCTCCCGGAGACCCAAGGAGGTGGGGGCAGCAATCAGAAATGCTGCAAGACCCTTGCCCTCAGATGGCCGGCAAAAGCCTTCATCTTAAAAAGATAGAGAGGGTCAGGGCTCCATGGGGCAGAAGCAGGGCTGGAGTTGGCTCTGAACCATCTTGGGGGCAGGAGGTCTCCAAAGCCAACATCCATAAAATACCATCTCTAGATCAACGGTCTGCTCCTTGTGCCCTGGGGCTGGGCCGTGTCTAGCGGGGAAGCTGAGAACAAACACCCGCCTGTGGCAGGGCTCCCTTCCCTGCACCTCTGCCCACGTTCTCCATGCCCTCAGCGCCCACACCCCTCCTGGACAAGGGTGACCCTACAAACTGGCCCATAGGCTCCCTCGAGGCCGTGGGAAGAGAGAAGGAGGGGCAGATTGGTCAGTCCCCGCAGGGGGGGACAAAATATGAGTACGGTCCCCCGGGACCCCCACTCTCAGGGAAGGTGAGAGAGTACAGGGTTGGCCCTCCACGGTCAAAGCCTGGCTCCCCAGCTGGTGTAGCAGACCACTTGCCCAAGGTTCCTGTGCCTCAGTTTCCCCACTCACAAAGGGGAGAAAAATAGCCACCTCCAAAAAATAAGCAGGGTACTTCCCGACGGCTTGGCCCCTACAGTCCAGGTGAGGCCATTGTGCTCACAGCTGTCCTCAGGGACTGGCTCTGATGACCAAGGGCTTGGGAGGCCACGTGTCCCCAGACAGGCAGTAGACAGGAGGCTCAGCTTCCCCAAGAAACTGGAAAATGAAACAGTGACCCAAAGCAGCTCAGCCTGGCCCCCATCCTGCCTCAAGGCCACTTGAGAACTGCGAGAGAGGCTGCTGGGTGGAACACCCTCTGTGGTCCTCCCATGAAGACCCTGGAGGGCTGCTTCCCGCAGAGTACTGGCCCCCCAGACCCAGACTCAGCAGGGCTGCACGTGTGCATGCATCTGCAGCTATGGGAGAATCTGCATTCCTGACAAGTCCCCCGTGTGATGCGAGCTGCTGCTGAGGGGCTGCCCTCTGAGAAGCCGGACTGCCAGAACCCAGCCCTCCTCTGTGTGGTCCGTCCCAGAGCCCAGGGCCAGGAAGTGCACGCATGCACCCCACTCCAGGCACAAAGGACTTACCCATCAAGGGTAAGGTAGGGAGGTGATGAAATCGGCTGTTTTGTGTTCTTACCTGGGGGTCCTCTGCGCCCACAAGATCAGTGCCTGGGAAGCCAGGGCCTGGGGGCTGCCCTTGGCCATCACAGCCCAAGTCGCTCACTCCCCCTACAAACCCTAAGGAGCGCCAGCAGGGACTGGGCCTCCCTGTCCCTCATTCACGAGGCTCACTTCAGTGAGAAGCAGTTGGGACGCCATGGGCCTGGCAGTCTCTCTATCGCAAGACAAATCAAGCTGCTGACCAGACCGCCATTCGGGCAAAAGGAGGAGGATCATCAGGTACAATACAGAACACCCAGTTAGATTTGTACTTCAAATAGACAAAGAATAATATTGGATATAAGTATATCCACACAATATTTGAGCCATATGTATACTGTGAAATTATTCATTTCTTATCTGAAATTCAAATTTAACTGAGCATCATCCTTTATTTTTCTATGTTAAATCTAGCAACCCCACAAAGAAGGCGACACACCCCCTGACTGATCAGGAGTGACCAGCCGCTGAGCCTGGCCTCCCAGGGCTCCCCTCCTCCCCTGGGCCAGGCTGAGCCCTGCAGGCGACATGGCGGGGACAGTTCCTCATATGCCCGATGTGAAGAATTAGATTTTTTTTCAAAATGCCATGACGGGCCCCCTGACCAGGTGCCAAGGGAATAGGAAAAGCCTTCACTTGGTTCCCGACTGCAGGTTTCTGAGAGGGGAGCGCTGGTTTGAGTCCAAACAGTGGGTGGGAGACGCCCCCTAGAGGTGTGACAGGTAGGCTGCAAGCCACAGCTAGCACGGAATGGGAGATTTCTGCCAACCCAGCGGGCGGTCACTGGGTCCCTTGGGCACCTCACACCTCTGAGGCCCCTCAGCCCAGGAACGGGGATAACGCTGCTGTCCTTCATGTCCAGATGTCAGCACAAGGCCCAGGGCGGCCCATGGTCGAGCAGGTGGACATGAGCCACAGCTGGCCTCCCAACTCTGAAAGCTATGCTTTCTATGTCAGCGTATTCCTTTGGTGTCTAGGGGGTGAGCTCCACTGTGTGCGCCAGAGAGGAACGGTCCACAGGGCAGTGCCAGCCAAGCTGGTAGGATTCCATTTCTGTCCCAGAGACTGTCAGAGTCGAGGACAGTGTGCCCAAGAGAAGGCAGACACACAAGGGCATGTCTGACCAAAGCCCTCCAAACTCTCCTTCCTCTGAACCCAGCTCTCACAACCAAGAACCAGGTGTCCCCTTGGGAGTGGAGGACAGGTGCCCTTTGATAAGCAATGGTCACTACCTTCCAGAGATGACATCAGCATCCCAGGCAAGAAACTCCACTTGGGCAGAACCCAGAGCTAGTCTTGGGAACAATTTATCGTAGCCAAACGCATACAAGACTGATGAATAAACCAGATGCTTTGTGTGTTCATTGGCCATGGGAGAGAGATCCCTTTCCAGGGCCTCAGTGTTTCCCATCTGGGGTCCAAGCCCCCCATTGCTGGGATTAAGATACTTGGGAGGCCTACTGCATCTTTTGAAGATGTGGACTACACGGGTGGCAGTGGGGGGACAGGGGGATCATTCGGCCTCAGTGATCAAGAGAGTGAGTTGGTCAGTTGGTTACTGGGTCTGTGAACAAATGGCCAGCATCCTCCTACTGGGGGCCAGACCAGCCCTGGCCCCCCGGGTCTGACTGACAAGCTGGCAGGGAAGACGGATGCTGAACACGTTGTCACCAATGGTTTGCCATGACAGGCAGTTTGGGCCCCGTGGAACACTGGCTGAGTGGTAGGACCGTGAGGGACCAAATGAGATCCTCTTGTGTGGGGGCCAGGGTAAGAAACCTCGCCACAGTCCCCCAGTCAAGGACTGAGCGAGGAACTGATCTCCAGAAGCCCCCAGCCATCACCCAGCTCCCTGCCCCGCCTGCCAGGCCGGGCCTGCTCTGGTCCCCCTGGACCCTCAGCTGGGCTCCCCCTTGCAAGCCACCTCTGGCACCCAGGACCACACGCGCCTCTCCGGCCGCCCCTCTGCCTGTGTCCCAGCCCTCAGCTCTCAGGCCCAAGGTCACCAGCCCCGGGCTCTCTCCTGACCCCCAGACAGGAGGGCCACTTCTCCCGGGTGCCGTCCAGGGGACCCGTATCGCCAGCAGCCCCCTTGGCAGATCGGACTCTATCCCCCGGGCTGTCCCAGGGGCAGCGCTCCTCCCAAGGGGCAGCGCGCAGCCGTGTGGCACCAACAGTTCACTGGGAAGCCCGGGCGTGTGTCCGGGTCAGGCCCAGGCCCGCACCAGAGCGGCCCGCGGGCAGGCAGGGCGCCCGACCTTCAGCAGTACCCCCGAGGAACGCGCCGCTATGGATCCCACTGCACGGAGGAGGAAACGAAGGCCTAAAGACGCTCTGCGCCTTGCCCAGACCAAAGTCTACACCTGGCGGGAAGCGAAGAGCGCTCGCCGCCGCGGGTCCGGGGCCCCACCCCCCGGTGGGCGTGGCCTGAGGAGGGGCGGGGCGCGGGCCGCGGGGGGGCGGGGCCGGCGGCCCTGATTGGGTAATGCCTCGATTCCTCGTGGGACTTCCTCCAGGCGGCGGCCCCGCCTTGGCCCCGCCCCCGGTGGCCCGGGTCGGGGGTGTAACCTCCACGGAGGCCCGTGGTCACGGCGAGGTCGGGCCGGGCAGTGGAAGCCGCGGGGAGCCCAGGCCGGCAGGCGTGGTCAGGCGCCCGCTCTTCTTCCTAAGCGCCTCAGTCGGCGAAGTGCGGCTGCAGTCCCGCCCCGCAGAGCGCACAGCTCGGACGGGCCGCACCGGGAGCCGGCAGCCGGCGCCACCACCTCCCCGCCAGAGCGCTTCCGCAGTCCGCCGTGCCGACCGCGCTGCGCCGCGGAGCCCGGCCGCCAGGGGGCGCCGTGGGGCCCGCCCTCAGCTGCGCCTGCGCCGGCGCCGCGCACGAGCCGGAGCACACACCCGCCGAGCGCGCGCCCGCCCCGCAAGTGCGCCTGCGCGGAGGCCGTGGCCGCGCCCGCTCCCGCCGGGGGCTCGTCGCTGCGCGGCCGGGCCATGGGGGAAGCCGAGGTGGGCGGCGGCGGCGCGCCGGGCGACAAGGGGCCGGGTGAGGCGGCCACCAGCCCAGCCGAGGAGACGGTGGTGTGGAGCCCCGAGGTGGAGGTGTGCCTCTTCCACGCCATGCTGGGTCACAAGCCCGTCGGTGAGCGGAGCGCCGCGGAGGCCGCGGACCCGCGTGGGGGCGGGGCGGACCGGGCAACGGCTGGGGGCGCGGGGCGGGGCCTCCCACGCCCGCCCACCCACCTGCACGTCCTCCGCCCTCGGCGCCCGGCGACCCCTGCGCCCGCCCACCCCCTCCCCGCCGACCCTGGCCCCTCCTGCACCCCGCACCCTCCCTCTGTCCCCTCCTGTGCCCGCCCACCCCCTCCCCCCGCACCCCTCCTGTCCCCTCCCTCTGTCCCCTCCCGAGCCCACCACCCCCTCCCCGCCCACCCCCCTCCTGCACCCCTCCTGTACTCTCCCTCTGTCCCCTCCTGAGCCCACTCACCCCCTCCTGCACCCCTGCTGTACCCTTTTCTGTCCCCTCCTGAGCCCACCCCCCACCTCCGCCAACCCTGCCCCGTCCTGCACTACTGCTGTTCCCCTCCACTCTCTGTACCCTCCTGCATCCCTCCACTCCCTAATATCCTTCCTCTGTCCTCTCCTGAGCCCACCCCTCCCACCCCATCGCCAACCCCACACCTGCCTATACTCTTCCACTCCTGCTCCCTCCTATACCCTCTCTTTGCATCTCCTACACCCACCCTCCTGTCTCCATCTTTACCCTTCCTCTGCTGATCCTGCCTACCACCTCTCTCCTCTCCTCTTACTTGCTAGCCCAGCCCTCCTCACAAGCTCTTTTCTCCCACAGGTGTGAACCGACACTTCCACATGATCTGTATCCGGGACAAGTTCAGCCAGAACATTGGTCGGCAGGTCCCATCTAAGGTCATCTGGGACCATCTGAGCACTATGTACGACATGCAGGCACTGGTGAGCCAGATCCCACCCTCCCCCAGACACAGCTCCTCCATCTATTTGCCAGGCCCCGTCTTTAGGGGGCCCTCTGTCCTGTGCACATCCCAGGGGGCAGCAGGAATTCACAAGGGCGCTCCAAGTAGTTTCACTAAAAACCCAAACTCGGTGACAGTAGCTGGCTCCCCTCACAGAACCTCCTTCACACGGGGTGGTCAGTGACAGTCTCTCCAGGGAGATGACCGGGGAGCTGAGGCCCATGGGAGGAGGCGGAAGGCCCCAGAGTGCTCTAGGCAGGAAGGTGACGGGATCCGAGTCTGAGTCAGGTGAATCTGGTGGCTTCTCTGAGAACCAGGCATGCAGGGTCCCCGTCCTCACAGGACCCCCATCTAGTTTCATCCGAAGGCAGGCGACTTCACTAGGTGACCACAAAGGCCCAAAGGAACAGGGATGTTCCTCGGAACAGCAGGTGTCAGGGCCCTGTGGCAGCAGGAGCTGGTGGGTCAAGGAGCTGAGGGGCCAGGGCCCCAGAGTGGGTGGGGGTGGGGGTTAGAGGTGTGCAGAGGGGCAGGGGCTTGTGCCGGGCTGAGGAAGGCTCTGCCTTCCTGGCTGACTCAGGGCCACACCAGCCCTCCCAGCCGAGGCCTTCTTTATCCAGACCCAGTGCTGCCCTTGCTTCCTGTTGGCTCTGGGCAGGTCACTTGCATCTCCTTGTCATACCCTAGAGAGGGGATAAAGGTGAAAGCTTTGCTCTGGGGACTGACTGCGTGGCCCGCAGGAAGCGTCCTGGGAGCAGCGCAGCAAAGACCAGCTGCCACGCTGAAGGAGCTGCTCCCCACGGGGGCCTCACCCCCACACTTGTCTCATCATGGTGTCACCTGGTCCCCAGACTCCCCGGGCCCTGACTCTAGACCAGTGGGGGCCAGAAGCCAGACACAGACGTGAGGGTAGCAGGGTCCCTGTCCTGGGGGAGCCCCTGGTGCAACCTGGGAGACAGACACTGACACCTAGCACCAGGCCCACATGACCCTGGCGAGCTGCGGGGCCCCACTTGGGGATTTTCGTCCGGGACAGGCAGCTCTTCTCCCTTCTCCTCCCCAGCTTCTTTCCACCTATCCCTTGTTCAGAACTAGGCAAGACGTCAAGGCTGTCACCTCCTTAGACCCCCGTGCTTCTCTGGGGCTGCTGCTGGGGTCAGGCGGGACCCTGGCAGCACGAGACCGTGGACCCCACTGCTGGGGGACCCGCAGGCCCAGGAGCTGCGGGGTTTCTGAAGCTCCAGGAGATGTTGATGAGCTCGTTTGTCGGCTAGCAGCTCGTAACACAGCCCCCAGACTGCAGAGAGGAGCCGTGTCTGCTCAGTCACAGTCCAGACCCTTTCTGCCAGCAGCCCTTTCCCTTTCTCGGGGGGCCCTGTGTCTCCAGGGTCTCTGTCCCTTTTGGCCCGTGAGACAAGTGGAACTCCAGTAAGCGCTCGGTGCCCCTCACACCACTTGGCTTTACCTGGTTTCCCAGGCGGAGGCTTGCCTCTCCGGCACTGTCTGTGCCTGTGGGCTCCTGCCCACGAAGACGGGACCGACGGTGCCACGGCCTTTCCTCGGGCGGTCACTGCACTCTGAACACACGCTGGTGGGGAGGGAGCCAGGCCGGGGCAGCTGTGAGGTAGCCTGACCACTGCCTCCCGCCCTTGCCCCTGGGGCCGTGCCAGGAGGTGACCCCAGCTGGGGGCTGGCCCTGTAGCTTTGCCTCCTGTGGGTCTGTTAGGAAAGCCCAGCTCCTCATAGACCGAGAGCAGAAAGAACGTTTTTCGGCCGCTCGCGCCCACGTGCGCAGCTCTCTGAGACCATGTGCGCGTTTGTCAGGTGTTGCTAAATTGGCTCTTACACGTTTTTGGTGACTTGCTAAAATCACGTTTTTTTTTTCTTTCTATAACAAAAATCGCCGTTTTTGCCATCAGCACGAATCTGAGATTCTTCCATTCCCAAACCCAGAGAGGAACTTTGTCCTTCCGGAAGAAATCATCCACGAGGTCCGAGAAGGTAAGGCTCCAGCGGGTTGGGTCCAGTTGGGGAGTTACAAGGCAGGACGTGGGCCAGGGGCGGTGGTGTCAGGGTGAAGGTCATGAGCCTCAGGGAGGAGGTGAGGGTCGCTGGCGTGGAGAGTCTTGGCCCAGGTGGACTGGGGGGTCTGGGGGAGCCTCGGGGACTGGAGGGAACTTGTTCAAGAACAATCGGCTCTCTTTAAAAGCGGCCTGGCGGCAGCTGAGAACCACACACACAGCCATCCCCGGCCTGAGCCATCCGCAGCATTGGGCAGGGCCACGTCTCCCACCGTTTTGGTAAACGTCAGCTGTCGCCCCACAGGAAAAGTGGTCATTGAAGAGGAAATGAAGGAGGAAATGAAGGAAGATGTGGACCCCCACAACGGGGCAGACGATGGTGAGTGGGGGGCACCCCTGACCCTCCCCTGGGCCCTGCGTGCAGCCCCGCATCCCCAGCCTGGGTGTCCAGTTGGCTTGCGGCCACAGCTGCCCTGTCCACTCCTCCCCTCGCTTGGGCGGGAGCCTCACGTGGCGGCGTGGGCGGCCCACACCACGAACAAGCCCCAGGGTGGCCTCGGGTCCAGCACCAGTCAGGTGGGCAGAAAGCGCGCATTGTGGGCACAGGCCAGCTCCGCGAGGCAGGAACAGTGGGTGGACGGGCAGGGTCCTGCGGCCCAAGGCCACAGGGGGGCGCATCCTCAGCAGGACCCAGCTCTCTGCAGGCCCCACGGCAACCCCAGCTCAGAGTGGCCTGTGTGTAGGTGCATAAATTAGCGGGAAGACGAAATAAAATTCTGGATATTCTGTTTTCAGCCAAATGATTTTGTCTCCCAGTTTTTTCATCTTCAGGAAGCTTGGGGAAAGCAACAGAAAAGTCCAGCAAAGACAAGAACCCTTCGGACTTGGGGTCGAAGGAAGGGGCGGACAAGCGGAAGCGCAGCCGGGTCACCGACAAAGTCCTGACGGCAAACAGCAACCCCTCCAGCCCCAGCGCTGCCAAGCGGCGCCGAACGTAGTCGTGGCTCAGCCACGGCAGGGGGCCGGGGCGCCATTGTCACCCGGCTGGACGCCCGCCGCCTGCCCTCGGGCCCACTGCGACCACCTGGGGCTCCGGGGGCCTGCTCGGGTGCAGAGAGCTGGGAGTCAGGCGTCCGGGCCCCCCCACCACCACCACCCCACGCCCCCGGGTGAGCTCTAGCCATGCTGGCCGCCGGCCGGGCCACAGTCGGTGCTCCACAGAGCAGAGCGCGGGGCTCGGGCAGGACAGCTGGAGTGGCAGGCAGGGTGCCTGCTGTGTCCCTGAGGAACGCTGGTCTTGCTGGGCGACTCGGCTCTTCCCATCTGTCCGTGTGTCCGTCTGTCAGCCGCTCTTCCTAAACCGGCTGCCCCCTCGGGAGAAGGAGACTCAGGCCACCTGCCTCCCGGCGCCCACCCGAGAAACCGAGAACTGGATATTTTGCCTCATTCACTTGTACTGTAACGATGTATATAATTTGGTGGTATTTCACTATTTAATTTTTAAGAAGCCTATTTTACTAGTGTTTTATATGAAAAAAATATTGCAGAAGTTAAACTTGTGTTGTATTTTTCCTGAGATGCTTTGTGTTAGGTAGTGACTACTGAGACGCTTTCCGCTCGGTTTTTATATGCCGGAAACAGAGTTTGTAGGGCTATTTTTCTATCTCCCCGTAACTTGTAAACAGACCAAATGAGTGCGTGGAGGGAGGTGCGCGGCCGGGGCGACTGAGATGTTTTCCTTTGAGCGCCGACCATTAAAGCACAAAAGTAGCAGCCCGAGTCTTGTGATTTTGATACCAAAATAAGTTCCCTTTTCTAACAGTAGGAAGTGTTTATTTTCCGAGGCTTATAATGCAGCCTACACTCTCCCGACTTCTTAGTATTCACTCGATACGATGTATTTACCAACTAGAAACAGGACCAGAGTGGAAACTTTGTTGAGTGTGACGAGTCCTTCAAATACGGTAAACAAGGCAGAGCTGGGGCTGGTGGAGCTGGGACGCCCGGGGGCTCATCCTCAGACTCCGGACTGAGTCTGTTCTCCACAGAGGAGGGTCCAGCCCTCCCTCCTGGTCAGCCACCGCGTCCCAGGCTCTTCATCTGGACAAGTCACCTGGAAGCTGAATTCCCATCCACCCAGCTGAGCCTCTGCCACCATCTGGGAGCAGGAGGCCGGCCCATGGTGCCGCCCGCCAGGCGAGAGCAGGAACCTCGTGCACAGCGAGTGGCCCGGCCGGTCGGAGCCTGGCCTGCACCAAGCCCGCCGTCACTTGCGGGGCCTTGAACACGTTGCTGGCGCCCCTTCTCCCCAGCAGGGCCCAGCCCCCCAGCACAGAAAGAGCATCTTGTGTCCGGGCTGCCGAACCTGAGCACCACGGCTTCCTGTTTACAAGGCTGCCCTGTGCCGGAACCGGGAGCAGAAGCTTGGTGCAGGTCGACCACTGCTGGGGAGCTTGGGGGCCAGGCCTCCAGTACGGGCTTTACCTGAGCAGGAACCTGGTCAGCGCCCAGGATGGAGTCCAAGGCTGCCGCTTCCCCACACGGTCCTGCCAGGGGCGTTTCTTCCGAGTTCTGAGAGGCAGCGCCATGGGACCCGCTACTGTCCGAGCAGAGCAGACGCCACGCTCACCCCCAAATGCCCAGGTGGGACGGTCACTGCTCGCCACAGAGCAGGGAGCGGGCCCCGCATGTGTCCGAGGGGGAAGGGGGAGCAGATGTCTGCGTTACAGCGAGCTCAGTGCCCTGCAGCCCTCCCACGATGCCTGCTCTGGACCAGGTCCTGCGGCTGAGATTGTGATGCCCACGAGAAGCCCGGTCCCTTGAGGGAGCTGCAGGGAAATGGGGCAAACAGTTCTACAGTCGCAAATGGTGCCAACAAAGATGGGGGGTAAACCCCCATCTGAAACCGTATCTTCAAGGCCCTCAGAACATGCGGGAAAAGCCTAGTGCCACGTTTGGTGAGTTAACATCTGCACGCCTAAGAGAGGTGGGAGGAGGGGTGCCTGGGTGGCTCAGTCGTTAAGCGTCATGATCCCAGGGTCCTGGGATCGAGCCCCGCATCGGGCTCTCTGCTCTGCTGGGAGCCTGCTTCTCCCTCTCCCACTCCCCCTGCTTGCGTTCCCTCTCTCGCTGTGTCTCTCTCTGTCAAATAAATAAATAAAATCTTTAAAAAAAAAAAAAAAAGAGGTGGGAGGAGGGGCGTGCCGGGCGAGCCCCTCAGGGCAGAAGAGCAGGTGCTTCACTGCCCCCCCCCCGGCCTCAGGCATCTTTTTGGGGCCCAGTCCCCATACCGCTGTGCCTGTGGGGGCGACAGTCCTCAGCAGGGGTGAGGCCAGCCCAAGCGTCCCAGGCCTGGCCGGCATGGGTGTCCGAGGCCCTGCCCAGCTCTCACCATCCAGGCTTTCCTGCCCTGCAGCCAGTTCAGGTCAAATTCATAGGCGTCTGGGGCACTGAACCTCTCCCGGCCTCGGGGTCCTGTCTGTGACGAGGGGTCTCACGTGCCCCCCTCACATACTAAGTAGGAGATGTCTGAAAGAAGCTGGGAGCTGGGATGAGGGGGCTGCAGAACAAAGGGAAACCACAGTCAGTCGTTCCAAGCACCACTGCCCTTAGCCCAGGAACCTCCACAGAGGCTCTGTGTGCGGGAAGCCTGGGACCTAGCACCCTCCCTGCAAGGGGGTGGGGGGCGGGGGGCGGGGGGGGCAGGTGGGTGTGGTCTCAGCGCACCCTGCTCTGGCCCAGCCCAGGTTCCCCCAAGGTTGATGCAGGAGGAGAGTGGGCTCCCAAGTACATACATACTGAGCAGCAGTGGGGTGCAGCCGGGCTCCCTCGGGGCTGGTTGGGTGGGGCTGGGGCTTTGGCCGAATAACATGGCTGCAACTGGTTTTGCATGAGGAAAATGTTAAGGCAGGTCTAACCTGAGCCCTGAGCCCGAATCTGCTGAACTCCTGCAAGACCCCTCAGCGGGAGCAAGGCCGCCCTCGAGCACAACACCTTCTGCTAGCGCACAGAGGAGGGCATGGCGTCCTGGGCAGCGCTGGGGACAGGCGTTCCTCTCAGGCCCCTTGCCCACCCCTTGGCCCAGCCTGGGCAGCAAGCTGTCCAGAGATCTGAGCCTACCACGGGCATCCCCAGGCTGTGGAGGGGAGCAAACTGTCTTCAGCACAAGACGGGCTCCAGCTTCTTCCTGCAGCAGAATCTAGGCTCCCGGATTAACACGCCCTGAGATGAGCCCCGTGCAAACAGTACACAAAGCAACTAAAGATGCAATTGGGTGTGACTTACTTGTAAAGTAGAAGTGGGGCAATGTCTTAAGAGCAACTGTTTAGGGAAAGTCTGTAGTCTTGGCCCCGGTCGGGGGCGGCTCAGTGCTGCTCTGAGCATGGGCTGGGACCACGAAGCAAGATGCCACAGCACAGCATGCTTGTCTGTCTGCCGGGGCAGAAGAGAGGCACAGCCTCCCTCTCAGAGCAGCCAAACCCTGCACGGCCCCCCCCAACACACGGACCCCTCCACCAGAGGCCCTTGGGGTCATCTACTTGGAAGTCGTAGCCAGGGTCTCCAGGGCCAGCTGTAAGTCCGATAACCAGAAGGCCAGGCCTGTGTCAGCAATCTGCGTTGGGCTGGCCTCGCCAGATGTGCCTGGGCTGCCTGCTCCCCCGAAACCTGCCCTGGCCATTGGCGGCCGACCATTTGCAGAAATGCCCAGATGGGGGCGCCTGGGTGGCTCAGTCGGTTAAGCGTTGGGACTCTTGGTTTTGGCTCAGATGGTGACCTCAGGGTCCTGAGATAATAGGGCCTATGCTCAGTGTGGAGTCCGCTTGGGTCTCTCTCTCCCTCTCCCTCTGCCTCTCACCACCCCCCCCCGCCCCCCACCGCACTCTCTCTCTCTCTCTCTAAAATAAATAAATCTAAAAAGAAAGGGACAACTGGATGGCTCAGTTGGTTAAGCGTCTGCCTTTAGCTCAGGTCATGATCCCAGGGTCCTGGACCTGAGCCCCACATCAGGCTCCCTGCTCAGTGGGAAGCCTCTTTCTCCCTCTCACTCTGCCTCTCCCCCTGCTTGTGCGCTTGCTCTCTCTTTCTCTCTCTGACAAGTAAATAAATAAAATCTTTTAAAAAAATAAGAAAAAAAGAAAGAAAGAAGAAAGAAAAGAAAGAAAGAAAGAAAAAAAGGAAAGAAAGAAAGAAAGAAAGAAAGAAAGAAAGAAAGAAAGAAAGAAAGAAAGAAAGAAAGAAAAGAAACAGACCCAGATGTCCATACCTTTGGGGTGTCCCCATCATCCTTTTAGAAAGTGAGGTAGTGGGGCGCCTGGGTGGCTCAGTCGTTAAGTGTCTGCCTTCGGCTCAGGTCAGGATCCCAGGGTCCTGGGATCGAGCCCCACATCAGGCTCCCTGCTCGGCGGGAAACCTGCTTCTCCCTCTCCCACTCCCCCTGCTTGTGTTCCCTCTCTCGCTGTGTCTCTCTCTGTCAAATAAATAAAATCTTAAAAAAAAAAACAGAAAAAAAGAAAGTGAGGTAGTGTTTTCACAGGTTCCAGCCAGGTGAGAGTGCACCCAGAGAATTAATGAAGATCGACAAGCCAGCAAGGAGTCGGGACCTGCACCAAGAAAGGCCTGCAGCTGTGCCCACAGCCAACATTGGAAACTTCTGGTGAGCTCTCTCAGCTATCCCTGGCTGCACAGGCAGCCTGGGGCCTGTTAGCTGGCTTGCAGGGCTGGGACAGGTCAGCGTCCCTGGGGGGCTGGCGGGGCTTGACCCCAGGAGTCATCCTCATGGCCAGATCCATCTAAAAGCCAGACTCCAGTTTTAGCTAAGCTTTTTGAAACAATGAAGTGGTGTAGTAGTTAGTTACAGAAGACAGATGTTACCTGGGGTGGCCACCCCCAACTTTCATTTCAAGGGGTGGGTCACTAACTTTGCTGGAGCTCCTGTGACCACCAGCAGATGTCAAGGCAGGGATTAAGTAAGGGACCCGCGGTCTCTGGGAAGTTTGCAGCTGAAAGTGAGTTTTCAGCTGTGTGAAATGTGCCCATGTTGTAGAGTTCATCCACCAGCAGCCGCCCCTTCGAGGGTTCACAGGTTCACACCTGTGAACACACTACCTCACTTTCTAAAAGGATGATGGGGATGCCCCAAAGGTATGGATATCTGGGTTTCTTTCTTTCTTTCTTTCTTTTTTTTTAAGATTTTATTTATTTATTTGACAGAGAGAGACACAGCGACAGAGGGAACACCAGCAGGGGGAGTGGGAGAGGGAGAAGCAGGCTTCCCGCGGAGCAGGGAGCCCGATGCGGGGCTCGATCCCAGGACCCTGGGATCATGACCTGAACTGAAGGCAGACACTTAACGACTGAGCCACCCAGGCGCCCCATCTTTCTTTCTTTCTTTCTTTCTTTCTTTCTTTCTTTCTTTCTTTCTTTCTTTCTTTCTTTCTTTCTTTCTTTCTCTCTCTCTCTCTCTCTTCTTTCTTTCATTTTTTTTTAAAGATTTTATTTCTTTACTTGTCAGAGAGAGAAAGAGAGAGCAAGAGCACAAGCAGGGGGAGAGGCAGAGTGAGAGGGAGAAGGAGGCTTCCCACTGAGCAGGGAGCCTGATGTGAGGCTCAGGTCCAGGACCCTGGGATCATGACCTGAGCTAAAGGCAGACGCTTAACCAACTGAGCCCTTCGAGAGGCCCCTGAGGGGGTGCTTAACTGGGGTCACCTGTGTTGAATGGCCTTAGGGTGACCCCCAGGCATTCCTGCGTCCTGGTGTTTGGCCCTGTGTGCACCTCCCTGGAAGGCAGGCAGCACGTGTGCTTTCTTCCCACTGAGAGAATGTGGTCACGGGGACAGAGTGCAGGCCCACCATGACGGTACATTGTAGGCCTCTCAGCACACTGGAAGGAGACTCTGGCCTTCAAGAAGCAAAGCGCCCAGTTGTGAACTGACTGGA